GGGGGGCGGGGCGGGGCGGCGCTGCGGGCGGCTGAGGAAGGGAACTGCTCACCAGCCACAGTGTCCTGGCTGTCGGCTGTGGGCCCCCAGTAGATGCTCTCCCCTCGTCGGAAGTTTCGGTGCAGCCGAGTGCAGAGTGTGGCCAGCGTGAGCAGCACCAACAGGAAGGTCAGGGCCATGGCAGCCCAGGCAGCTTCCTCCGTGCGTGGGGTGGGGCCCCGGGCTGCCCGCGGAGGTGCAGCAGCCCGAGGGGCTGGGGAGGCCCGGCTGGGACAGGCACAGCCACCTGGGCTGCTTTGCCCTTTGGGCACCTGAGTCTCTATCCTGGAGCTGGCATTGCCTCCAGGCCCCGCAGGCAGCAGGGGGGCAGTGGGCACCCATGGGGCATTATCCCCCTCACCTGGGGATCCTAACATGGGCTTCCTGGTCGCCAAGCTCTGGGGGGAAGCAGAGGGGAACCTCAAGGCTGAGGGAGTAGACTGGAGACGAAGGGCAGCCCGTAGCCCACGCCTCTTGGCACCACCACCAGGAGAGTGCTGCCTGGGCCCTCTAGACACCACCTCTGTGCCTGGGGGCCGCCAGCTCCGCAGAGTAAAGGCCAAAGCCGGGGCCTAGGGGGAGAAAAGACAGCACTCACCCTGTCTCTGCCCAGATAACCCAATGACCAAGCCTGGACCCAACAGCCCTTACCTGCACACACCCTCTCCGGCACAGCCTCCCTCTGCCCAAGGTTTGCACCAAGGGAGAGGGCCCAGAAAGGCTGTTAGAGAGGAACCAGGCCTTCTTCCTCTGCTTCTTCCACCTCCTTCTCTTCAGCAGGTGGGCAGCCCAGGCTGGCTCCACCCATGCCATCTCCAGCACCACACCCCCTGCTTCCAACACCAGGGGCTATGAAAGGAGGTAATTGTTAGAGCTAAGATGAAGTGAGGGAAGACCAAGAGGAAGCCCCTGAATTTTCCTTTCCCTGCACATGGGGCTGCAACCTCTGCCAGTGCCAGACAACCGACTTTCACAAACCACTTACCCGATCCTGAGTGAGGCTGGAGTTGGGGGCCAGTGAGGGCTGGGCCACATGAACGTGGGCAAGGAGGGCAAGCTGCAGCTTCAGCCAGGGGTGGGCACAGGGATGGTAGAGGAAGCTGACATCCTCAGCCTGGAGGAAAGGCACAGAGATATCAAGCCAGGCCGAGTCCTTCCCTGAGAATCCCAAGTTCTCCCATCCTGGGGGCCAGGTTAAAGGGATTCCCAGGATGGCCACATAACCTTTCCACCATCAGGGCTCAGGAAAGGACAAAAGATCCTGGGTACTGGCATGCACCCCCTCTTGCCTCTGAGCATTCCTTTCCCCCTCCTCCATCAAGTGCCACCCCTCAAAGCTCACAGCTTCCATGACAGCGTGCCTGGTTATCCCTGTCAGACTCCGACCACACTCTTTAGCTGTATTTCTCTGCACCTGCAATGATGGCTTTATAGGTTCCCAGTCTAGACTGTGAGCATCCTCTCTGTGGAGACCAGGTCTTTTTTTCATTGATCCTATCTAAACAGTCAGTCTCCCAAAAGCATCCAAATACAGGACGCACAGGCAGCAGGTGCACAATCCCAGGATGGAAACACTTTATCAATTATTAACATTCTTTGATTGAGCTGACCTGATGCTCAGCACTGTGCCAGATGCTGTAGGAGATGCCAAAAGAGAACTCCTGGATCCCGCTTGCAGGGAATGTAAAGGAAACTCAAGGAAACAGAACTAATGCAAATGAAAGAGCAAACTAATAAAACTCAAATTGATTAGTTGTTAAATTATAAGATTTAAGTCATAAGCATTACATAGATTTGGAGAAGATGCTGAATAAGGGCTGATGTGATCAGGCAAGGTCTCATAAGAGAGCTGACTCCTGCACTGGGCTTTGAAGATGGATGGGTCTGGGTAGCAGGTGGCCAGGGAGCTGCCTGCTTCAGCCTCAGGTCAGGACAGGATAGGTGTGGAGGAGACTGCATAGGAGCAAAGGTACAGCTGTGGGAATGAGCCTGGCACCCACACGCGGTGGATGAGCAGCCCACCACGACTGCAGAGGAACCACAGACTCGGAGAGGTCAGATAAGGCTTAATTAACTAGGCAGGGCCTGAAATGCCAGGCAAGGGACTATGGCCATGATAAGGTGGGAAAGAAGGAGCCATCAAAGGTTTCTGAACAGCAAAATGATTTAATGAAAGGGCTGTTTGAGGAAAGGAGCCGGGTAGGTGGAATGAGGTCTCTTGGCCTGGAACTATTACAAGGATCAAAAAAGTGAGATATTTCAAAAAGAAAACCAAAGGGATATGGAAACTATCTGGCTACTGGCGAAAACAGAGGCATCCAAGCAAGGTGAACCCACAGTTTGGAGCCTGGTAACCTGAGGCACACTCTGCACAATATAGCTTTGTCCTTTCCAAAGTCACACACCTAATTCCTAATATCCTCTTACAGAAAACTGGGGCCCAGAGAAGTCAGGAGACCTCCATCAGTCACACAGCAGAGTTGGAACTTGAGTTGTTTTTTTACTACCCTCAGAGTTCCCCTTGCAGCCTCCTGCCCACAAAGCCAGCTACCCAACAGCATTCCTGACACCTGCGCTGCAGAGGACTGAGGCCTTTGGCTCGCCCTCGGGACTAAGAACATTGCCTCCACCTGAGAGAAGCTGTAAGGAATGGAGCTGAGGAGCAGAGAGGCGGAAAAAGCCTACAAGTGCAGACAACAAGGATGGCTCCTGCTGGGACTTACCTGCCCTGAGCTCATCCGTGTGTAGGTCACTCTTGGTGACACCTATATGTAGGGAAAGAAAAGAGCTTAAAGCAGCTGGGAGGCTCTGTGCAGGGGCGTGGGGAGGGGGCAGTAGGCCCCATGCCTCCCCGGGTTGGGATGAAGACCTTGGCGACTGAGGGACGGAGGAACCCTCTCTCACATCGCCCTCCAGGCTCCTACCTGTGGGGGCAGAGGCCACAGGCCTTCCGGACAACGGGCTCCCGCGTCCTCCGCCGGCTCAGTCATCACCTGTGGGTCCAAGGCACCGAAGAGCTAGGGCGCTGGCCTCGGCCGGGCCCTGCCCTCTCCCAGCCCAGGCCCTGCCCGCGGGGGGAGGGCTCCTCGTTCTCTCTCCGCGCGCCACTCCTTCCAGGACGGACTTTCGGCAAAGGGCTCTGAGATGCGCGGCCGAGGCCTTCTCAGGGGCCGGTCGCCTCACCTCAGTGGGACTCAGGAGCCCCGCCAGGGCTGCCAGGAGAAGAAGCTGGGGCGAAGG